AAAAGCTGTGCGACACTTTGGACGAATTGTTCTAAATGACTGCTTCCATCATGGTCCCTAATTTTTACCGTAGTGAATAAAAACTCATTAAACGACATCAACTCGGAAACCGGATCGACGGCTTAATCGCAACACAGCAGCCGCATTTTTGGAAGAAGTGGAGTCCAGAAGCTGCCCGAAAAATGAGCACTTGTCTTACCTATCAACGGTGATTACCTTGCAGACTGGAAGGTCCTTCAGTAAGAAGAAATTCTGTCTGAATTACTGCCCGAAGTGTCGCAAACCTTTTCGTCCAGCCTGACACTTGCAATGTTTGACAGTGAAAGCCTTTTTGTGTTCTTGTATGAGGAACTTTTTTGGTGATTTCTAGATATTTTGGTGTTTCGAGTTCAGATTTGTCCGGGCCTATGCGTCAAGGATTCCACGACCTGCTCATTGCACTTCATCTCCAGACTCATGCCAGTGCACGTCTTTCGATGAGCAGAGAATATGTTATCCCACTATGCGAACAGCTACAAAATCAGAATGTGTTCGATCCGGACACGGAGACTCGGTACGTTTCTGCACCCCTCAGGATACCTTGAATTGATTCCTCAGGAACTTCCCCACAGAAAATCTTCTAACCCTTCAAAATCCTACACCCAGCTGCCTGTGAAGGTTTCCCTTGCTCAAGCCTGTGTTGGAGTAAAAGAGGGGTAGTGAGAACTTTGGCTGGGTTGGTGCTGACACCGCCACTTCCATTCCCATGTCGTACGCTCCTTCAAGTTCTCTTCCGCCAACGACTTCTGCTTATCTTCAGGTATCCTCAAATTATGGGTGATGTCTACTCCATGCTACCTGTTATGGTCGCAGAGCCAGTGAAATCACAGTGAGTTCTCTAAATATTTTAAAACAACTATTTTTGATATTTTTCTATGTTACCCACTTTTTCCCCTATCATTGCTGTTGGATCCTTCTACTTGCCAGTGGCAATGTGTAGTGCACGCAGAAAAGTCCTAAGTGCCAGATAGTGGCATTTTCGCTACGGGGTGGGGGCGGGGAAGTTACCCTCGAGAAATTTTAACATTGTTGACTCTGCCGTCTCAACCACTGACAGTCCCAATAGGAGGTTGTATTTTCGAAGGGGAAGGAATGTTGAAAGAAGTATCCCAGAAGAATGTTTGCGCTGCGAGACGACTTCTCCTACTGTGGGATTTTTTCATTTTTTATGCGCTATATGTCCCTTTTCTCCATTCTCATACAGCTGACAGTCTCGCAAAACAACCATCACCATTTCTTTACAATCACTATTTCCTATGGCAGATTGTGGTAATTGTTTGGAGGGACTCCCTCCTTCCGAAGGTAAAATTTTGGGAAAATACTTTGTTAAGGGAGTCGTAAAGGAGAACAACCTCAAGGGCGTGGCGTATTCGTAATTATATAGCGCGATACTTTGTCCTGGAGCAAATTCGTATTTGCTAGCCAACAGTGAACCAAGGCTAAGTGCACGGCGCGCCTTGGAAAAGCGACTGACCAACACCGAGCAAATTATCGTTTTTGTTCAGAGTTCCAGTAGCAGACGAAACGAATTTCAGATTCACACGGGATGAAGAAATGAAGCTTTTACCACCTGCTATCAATTTCGATGCACTCAAAGCTCATGTGATGAGCGCTATGGAAAGCGCTACGCGACATGCTGTGATGAACTGTCGCGACTTGATCGGTGGCGATAACAGAAGTCACTTCGAGTACGTTCCTCAGCTAACTGATTGAGTTCTCTCGAACGGCCTAGATAGCATTTTTCCAGGCCCCTGATGAAACTGTTTGACTGCTTGCTGGTCATTGGTTTGTTCGATGACACCGAACTGGAAGCCCTTCTGCAGATGATTCATCCGGCAGCCTTTGACCCCAACTATGAGCCTGGTGGGTGATAGTATTTTGTTTTATCGATTAGAATCTTTTCACTGGTTCTGCGGAAAAGAGAAACTGACAACGTGTTTGACGATATGATCGCCTTCAGGTACTACCAAAAAAGGTCTGACAGAAATCGAACTCGAAGAGCATGTGAAGATTCAACTAGTGAACATCCTTGACCATCTATGTGACACACAGGTTCGTCGATAATCAATTATCGATTAACAATTTATTAGCAATTTTCAGCTTCGACATCGTATCGAGTCGCTTATTGGATTTACCGATGGATTTGTTGGTGATCTCCAACAAGACCAATGCAAAAGGTACTGTTAAAGGCACACTTCGCAGGTACAAATGCTGCGTAGTAGGTTTTAAAAATCAAAGAGTTGATGGTACTTCAAATCCCTGCAAAAACTAAGGGGGAGATTTCGTAGAAGGCAGTGGGCATGGTTTTTGGAGGCGGGATGTGGTGGAAGGGCTGAAGGGGGGAGCCCCTGTTTTCACGGTTTTGAGAGCTGGAAAGAGAATCCACTCACGAGCAAGACTGTACATTCATAAAACTATCATGAAATGGAATGAAATAGGGGAAAGCGGACCTCCGGTGGGCGCACGACCTTTGCGGTGGATGTGGGAGCCTTGCTGTTCACTGTCAACCTGCAAAAGTGATACATGGTTACATAACACCTTGAACTTTTGTGTGTGGTCCTGTTGCGAAACCGTGTATGCAGACAGACAGAAGCGGCTGTCACAACATCGAAATGTGCAAATACATATGGGTAACGGGATGGGTTTTCTCAAGGGGAGGGGTTTGTGTGGGTGAGCAATTTGTCATGTGTGAAAAGCTGGAAGGTCACAGTGACCACAGGATGCCATACCGAGGAGGGAGTGCAAAGGAAAACGGAAGATTGATCCTCCTACTCATCAAAACAATTGCAGATTGCGTCTTTAAGGCTCATGCAGTTCGAAAGGAAGGGGCATCTAGGATCCGATCATCTAGGATAGGATGTGTTAAATTTGAGTAAAATTGAACACGACGTGAACAAAATTTAGATACATGGATATCAAGCAAACTGACATGCCACCGGCGGAAGCTGCAAAGAAAACGAAGGAGTTCCGTTGCCCGCCCAAAGAACAAATGTTTAGACTTCTCAAGTGCAAAGTGGTTATTGTCCAGTTTTAGACGTTCAGTCATTTTCTCGACCAGGCGATCTGATATGAATTTCCAGGAAAAAGAGGAAAAAGAAGTGCTGCTTGAAGATGAAGTCGAGTACGATCAGTGTCCCATGGCTGAACATCTCCAAGAACAGCTGAGGTTGGTTTACTGGTCTATAAAGGAGTACATTCAGAGTGGAATATCTGATTCCAGAGACTACTGCGCGTTACTTGTGGAAAGAATCGGAAACTCTGACGAAGCGACTGAAGAGGAACGTCAAAGCCTCATTGAGACCGATGAGGGCTCATGGGTAAGGAGTTAGTGGATGCGATCAACGAATTGTGCATTAGTTGAAATTAAATTTATAAACTAGAAGTAGCTATTTCAGAGTATTCGTGTGACCGGAACCCAAATGTGTAAGGATTGAAAACGGCATTTCCTCCCCCCCCCCGCCCCGCTTGCTTACTCATTGTGAGCAGCAGGGATAGCCCTTTAGGAAAACATGTGGAAGAGACTCTGTCTGAGTAAAGATGACGTACAGTCTTGTTCGCTACGGATGCTAGGGATTGCGTGTCAGGGGGGTCGAGTTCTGCATGGCGCTACTCTGTTCCCCACCAGCTGTTGAAGCGGGCAATCCAAAAGACTCAAGAGGTAGGTAAGGGAAAGAGCGAACGGACT